GGGTCTATTTTGTTTCAAAACATTCAAGTTTCTTTCAATAAATTTGAGATGGAAAAATATTTTTTATAATCTTTACCAGATGTTATTTATACTAAAAGCAACTTTTTTAGCACTCCAAAATACAGTTATTGTTTAATTAGTGATAAATCTGACATTGCTAGGCTTGAAAAAACATAACAAGTACCAAATGTACTTCTGTGTTTCAACTTTACCCGCGCTCTCTCAGAGCGTTAGGGATGCCGGTTCTGGATGCTCAGAGAAGTCCCTCTCTCCAGCCTGGCCCATTGGCCTGCATCAGTTAGCTTGTGCAGCCTGAGCAGAAAGACAGTTCCTAGGCCCCTGGCCACTTCTCAGCTCAGACTCTCAGTGGCAATGACCCCCCAAGTCGACCACTGCCCTGTTTTTATTCTTCATTTTTTTTTCTCTCCCTTCATCTCTGACTGGTTGAAAAGTCATCCATCCTCAACAGTGTAAACAGAACTTTACTATCTGGGCATTATTCTTTAAGGAAACAGTGCTGGGGGATCTGGTGCCCCCCTGAGGTACACACTGGGAAGTACAACTACTGTCCGAGATGCAGATTGTTGACCTGTTAGCCCCAAGCATAAACTGCCAACAGCACTTCCCTATTCCACCACTGCCAAATTATCTACTTCAGCATTTCTTAAGTTACATTCATCACATTCAAGAACTCAAAAAAGAAATGCATGAAAGACTGCTAATGAAAAAGCAGTTAAAGCAAACACGAGAACATTAGTAAGAATTACTCAAGCACAGAAAACTGACATAACTCAGGATGTGGAGACAATTCTTCAATGTAATCTTTTATTTAAGGAGAATTGTGTTTGGAATTTTGTGTAAAGGAAGTTTCTTTTTCTTTTTGAAGTGACTATGATTGCTCTCTAAAGAATGAGGACAAGAATGCATCCTATCTCATCATATCAGAAAGATCGAGAAGGACATGAGGTACCTGCATGTTTTTTTGTTTGTTTTTATTCTTAAGGTCTTATTAGGCGAAGAACTAATTTTCTCCCCAGTTTTATTGAGGCATAATTGACATGATAAAGAACGAATTCTAATTGAGCTATTAAGACGTTCAGGCAGGAGAGAACACTAAGAGCATTTTTTAAATTTAAAATCTGAATAAACAAACAAGAAAAACCAGCCCTGCCTCATTTGCCCCTCTCAACCTTCCTCTGCTCCCTGCTGTCTTTTGGGCAAGTCGGCCCTGTGAAGGTGAAGGAGCTGCTCCTCTCAACACAGCTTGAGGGGTTGCTGGCATGTGAGGTCTGCCAACAAAGGGCCTAGGAGGGGGAGCAGAAGCCAGGGCACATGTCGGCCGCGGCGTGCAGGAGGGCAGCCAGGCACAGTGCCCTACTGCCACCCAGCCAGCACTTCTCATTCAGATGTGGGATATAAACTACAGGTTTCTGGGCTCCACAAACAGAATTGTAACCAGAAAGCATAAATAACATCCTTCTGGTTCTGGGCCAACCTTGGGAAACGAAATAGTCAAGAAAGCTGCATAATTACCAAGTGGTTTTCACTGCTCTTGGTAATACCAGTTTTTAAGTTAGGTCTGAAGCTATGGATCATGGTCTTGCAGTGCCTTTCCATCATGGAAAACATAAGACCATCTGCTTTTAAAAAGTGTCAGGCTGCACAGTAAATGACAAACTAAGTTTAATACTGTGACTTATTTAGAAGCCACTGAAGTGCCAGGTGACCTTGTATTTGGGGAGTGGGGTGGGTTCAACCAACAGAAGCCTAAGGGTAAGTCTCAGGCGTAAATTTGTTTTTATTTTAGAAGTTATACATGTGTGTATAAATATGCGTTCACATGGAATTCAGGTGATATTAGGTTAGTGCCTTATTATTCAGTCTTAACAGAAAATACCAGGCCTCTTAGTACCTGAGCGACCAAAGAACATTTGGGAAAAGCATTTCACTTCATGCAACCTGTACTACACTTTTTTTTTTTGGCAACATCTTGGTAACTATAAAATTTCCAGGGCTAATTCCAGATAGTCCCAAGAGATGGAAACATAATTAACAATGCTCCATATAAAATACAAGTTACGTAGACCATCACACTTTAATTACACTCGGAATTCAACTCTAATGTAATAGGCATCGAGTTTCTTCTAGAGGAAAGCACAGCACTGCCATGCTATCTGAGTCTCGCAGATCTCTGACACTTCTGCACAGTCCTGTCGCTGCTCCGAGATACTGTGCGGTGATAAATGAGTCAGATGATGCAATTAGGAAGCGAGTGCTTCAGGTTACCCTTCTAATCGCTCAGTTACGTCACAGGCTTATTCCAGCTGCTTGTTTTTCCTGGCACTGCAGGCCTATGATGCCCAAGGAGAGCAGCCCACACCAATCAGGAAATTCCAGCTCTGTATTGTAATTACCTCCTTGAACTGAAAGACACAAAAAGGTCACATCCTGCCAATGCCACAATAGATTAAACCAAATAACACCCTCTGGAATCTTCCTTTAACCATAATGGAAGCTCTGAACCTCTACACACATGATCCTGATAAATGCTTCTGTACATCAACCGACTTCAAAGCTGTCAGACTAGGCAAGATCATTTTCAACTCTACACTGCAGACTGAAGGTTATACAATGCAAACGTTGAATGAAAGTGCCTGCTTTCTCTCTCCCTCATTCACAGCAATATCCTGTGCTTGCTGAAGAATTGCAGAGTTGCTCAGGCCTCATGGCCACAGGTAAAAGAGACATGGAGAAGGTCAGAGAAGAACCACAGGACCAGTGAAAGGTTGCAGAATCAAACCAAATCAGAAAAGTCCATGGAACTGTAATTTTTCTATGTAGAGAAGACAAAGAAATTTAATAAAGAACCTGAAAGCAAGGAACTTAACTCATTACTATATTTTGCCAACGAAAAAGGACCAGAGAAAATTAAATTATAGCATGTTCATTTAAGTTAGAAATACAGAGATTTCCCTGATAATAAAGGTAATGCTTGGAATGCTATGCCAGGGGCTTTTCAAAGCCTTTGTTTTAGAAATTTATTGTAATTAAAAAATATTTTTTATTTATTTATTTTTTAGAGAGTAGAGAAGGGAGGGAGAGAAACATCACCATGTGGTTGCCTCTTGCCTGAGCCCTGCTACTGGGGACCTGGCCTGCAACCCACGCACGTGCCCCAACTAGGAACTGAACTGGCGACCCTTTGGTTTGCAGGCCAGCATTCAATCCACTGAGCCACACCAGACAGGGTTGTAACTATTTTTATATAAGACACATTTTTATTTCTGACCTTAATATGCAACTCTTTTGAATGGTGAAGTCAAGCAGTAATTTTTCTTAAAAACAAACAAACAAACAAACAAACAAACCTCTCTTTGGGCTCTCTCGGGGTTTATACCTGTCTTCCTTCCTTCTTTCTTTTCTTCCCCTATCAAACAGTATACATTTTCAAATCACTTGGGTTCAATTTGTGCCACTTAACTTACAGGTGAAAGCAGCATGACCACTGATGACTGTATCGCAAGTCAGAGTCACGTGGGAGGACCCAGATATGAAGGCAGAGAAGAACCAAGGACACGAGGAAAACGGCGAGCGCGGCCTTGGACTGTCGCACATGCACTGCTGGGGAAGGACTGGGATCAACACCAAGACTCAGGGACAGGAAGAAGGCAACTGAGTCAATTATGATTCCCCTATGCAGCCCCCAACTTGAAAGAGAAGGGGAAAACAGGAAGTTACAACCAAATTAAACAAATAGAAGCTATCTGGGAGATGGGGGTTGTGTAAATTCAGCCAACTTCAGAAAACTCCATGCTCAGGGCTTCACGCCTCCCAAATCTCAGCTTCGTGGGAAGGATGAACACGCTCACTCTCCTGCCTAGTTTCCTGCCACCAAATTAAGACCTGACTGTTCACCATCTCTGTCTAAACTAATCTTATTCATCTGTGCAAAAGGAGGAAACCTCTGCGCTATCTCCCCCAGGTTACCCAGCTCATGAGAAAGCATGGGAGCCACTGAGGCTCTGTAAGACAGAGGCCCTGGGAGCACGGCACCTTCTTGTCCTTTCTGAATTACTTCTTCAGGGCTCACTGGTTTCTGTTCTTACAGAAACGCACATAAATTCCAGAGCTGCCTCCCACAGAGGGAAAACAACACCCAGAGCGGCCAGGTTCTAAGGGACGGCCTGGGGCGCTGGCTCCGGGAGCCCCTGACTTTGCAGGCCTAGGAGTCCAGAGAAGAAGGGGGCCAGGGGGCCAGTGTACAGAGCTAGGTTTCAAGGCAGGCAGGCTTACACCAAAATAAAACTTAACAAAATCCTTAGTTGTTTTAACCATTTTTTGAGGTTCTGTTTTGTTTCTCTTGAGTATTTTATTTTCCCCTCTAATGAAGAGCTAAAAGTATTTCTGAATGTTTCTTTGTTAATTGATTCTTCTTGTGGTTTTTAAAATTTTCATTTTTTAAAAATTTACTTTTAATGTGCAAGTAAGAAATACTGTTTTAAAAAAGTTTGTTGACCAAATATCAGTTCTTATGAATATACCACATAAAGTACAACAATCCAGTAAATCTTGAGTCTCTCCTTATTTTTGACATATGCTCTAAATATGCAGAAAAGTCCCCTATGTCAGGTATTTTTATTTTTTAAAGATTTTATTTATTTATTTTTTAGAGAGAGGGGAAAGGAGGGAGAAAGAGTGGGAGAGAAACATCAATGTGTGGTTGACTCTCATGCTCCCCCTACTGGGGACATAGCCCGCAACCCTGTGCCCTGACTGGGAACTGAACTGGTAACCTGACCCTTTGGTTCACAGGCCAGAGCTCAATCCACCGATCCACATCAGGCAGGGCCCTGTTAGGTATTTTTAAAGTAAAATGTAAATACATCATTACTTTAAAGGTCTCAATAGCTCTTTTGTTTACATTTTTTCCTTTGCTCAGACCAAACAAAATGATACCCAACACCTTCTTTAAGGACTTTTCTTCTCATACCAGCACATACCAGCAATGAATCTTTCACAAAGCATTCGATCCTTCTCAGAAAATTTCTCTCACTGAAAATCAGCTTTTCAAAAAGATGCAGCGTTGCTTTTTCAAGGCTGGGAAGGTGTCGAAGCCAGAGGCAGACTACAGTTGACTTGGGAAGAGAAATCTTCTTCCTTTCAGTAAGAAATAAAATTTTGAATAGAAATGGGTTATAGAAAATAGAAGACTAAGAGAGTTCAAAATGCAAAAAATGAAACCAATTTGTAAATCTCCTCCCCATGGTCATAGTAGTCGTTAATATTTGTAATATCAAAGAATACTGACCAAGTATCTATTTACAAAATAATGTGAATATACTTCCACTTTAACTCAAAAAATTGGAGAAATGCTCAAAGAACAAAATGCTTTCAAAACAATAAACAAATATATAGTGATGGAAAACAGTGGTAAAAGATGAGATATAAAAAGGTCTTGAAATACCGAGGTACGTGCAATCCTAATTAAGAAACAGTTATGCTTCTTGATGCAACACTTCATGATGGAAGTGCATTATGATGGTGCGTGGAATCAAACCTGGGTTTGAGTCCAAGATCTACCACCTACTAACTCTATGACCTTGGGAAAGTTACTTAACCACTACACCTCCATTTACTCATCTGTAAAGTGGGCCCATTTCCCTCACAGTGTTGTCAGACTAATCAAATGCAATAATAACACATGTAAAGTGATTAGCATAGTGGTTGATACTGAGTATTTCAATAGTAAGTATCCAATATTCAATAACATATTTGTAAATCTGTTGCTTGAAAGTTAAAAAAAATACTTTTCTTTAGCCTTGGCTGGGTGGATCAATTGGTTGGAGTGTTGTCCTATGCACCGAAAGGTTGTGGGTTCAATCCCTGGCCAGGGCACATGGCTAGGTTATGGGTTCCATCCTAGGTTGGGGCATATATGGGGGTGAAGGGCACAGCGACTGATCAATGTCTCTCTCTCCCATCAATATTTCTCTCTCTCTCTCTCTCTCTCTCTCTCTCTTCCTTCCTCTCTCTAAAAAAAATCAATAAACAAATCCTTGGGTGAGGATTTAAAAAAAATTTCTTTACTAACAACTTCACAGTTGGTGGTTATAACCGGTATTAATCCACAGTTGATCCGCAACATGAGACTCGATAGACTGCAACCATTTTGTGTAGCTCATTTTCTACAGGAAGATGTATTTGAAGGTTCCTCTTCCGCATATCAGGGGTCCTACTTGCCCCCTGGGAAGGAGCATGAGGGGGACATCTGTCTGACGCCCAGCCACCGGGCCTAATCTGGCCTGGTAGGACTTGTCTGCCTTCTTTCAGCCCAGGTGCTGAAGCCTGAAGCATCACAGGCAGCAGGCTGCTTTCTACGTTCTGCCAGAAAATGTTTACTGTTTTTAATAAGGAAAACAAAAGCTGGGGCACGAAGGTTCCCCATTACCCAACGACTCCTTCAGTGTCTTTCCCTTCACCATCACTTCTGGGCCATTGCTCTGCAGGAGCTAGCTAGAAGCCTGGGGAATGAGCACAGGGCAGGATAGATAGGAGACACAGGGTAGCAATTTCTAGTGGCTTCTCTTTTTCTTCTCCCTTGGCATAACTCCTCCAGACTTTGTCCTGGATTAACTCTGAAGAAGCTAGTCTTTCTTCAGAAAGGGAGGGAGGGAGGGATGTCCCTCCTCTGACCCTCTTTGTGGTCTCACATTCTCACCTTGAGCTTCAACTCTTCTGAAAAGTCTTACAGGACCCCCTTCTCCCCCTACCTGCCCATACCTGGTGAAGAAGAGTTGCCACCATGCCCCAACCCTGTACACCTGGCATATTTGGGGGCCACACTATAGAAACCATCTATGGGCTGCCTTTCCCAAGCTACCTCCCCTATTATCCTTGATGGCAAGGAGCTGGTGGTCATTCAAAGAAGATGACTAAGCACTTCCTGTGTGGAACTAAATGTGCCAGGTGCAGACCAAACAATCAAAAAACAATCTGTATCATTAGCAGTTCAGGGCCCAGTGGGAGGTGTGCATATGTACATACACATACCAAATTGTGATAAAGGCAATGAAGGAAAAGGACAGGCTGAGGTAAAAGAGAGTAATGGGGAGGCGGGGGAGGAGGGAACTAATTTAGATTAGGTCGTTGGGGGTTAGCTAGGTGAAAAGAAGTGGGAAGAGATTTTTAACAGAGGGAACAGTTTTGATGGCCCTGAGACAAGGAAGAGCAAGGGCAGAAGAGAGAGGTGGTACAGCTCCGCAGTACCACAGGCCAAGATAAGATTTTAGGATTTTATTCTCTGGTTATTCTGGCCCAAAGATTTTAAACAAAGTTCTAGGATGCAGAGAAGCGCCAGGATGCAGTTTACATTTCAAAGATCACTCTGGGGGAACTTCTAGTCTAGATGGAAGTGTAGGTAAACACACCTCACCTCCTCACACAACCATATCAAAATAACATCTAAACGAAGAACAACCATCACTCAGAACAGTCAGTTTGACCTGAATGGAAGTTGGAAAACTATGGAATTGAAAAAACCACATCCATCCAGACTGGTAGGAGGAGCAGAGATCAGAAAAGCCTGGTCCCACATGCATGTGTGGTGGATAAAAATTTGGGAGGGATACCTCAGGAGTGAGAAGTTGAAGTCCCAACCCCACACCAGGCCAGCAAGCCCAGAGTTCCAATGCCAGGAAGATAAGTCCCCATAACTGCTAGCTGCAAAAGCCAGCAGGGATTGAGTTGGTAGTAGAAACTTCTGGAGTCCCACATGGGTTCTTCTTCTTAAAGAACCCACACATGGACTTAATCACACTCACTCCCTCTGAGCTCTAGCAATGGGGCAGCAGCTTCACAGGCACCAGTGGCATACAAAAACGGAGGTGCCTAGCTTTTAGGCTGAGAGCTGGGGGACAGATTTCTCCCAGACGGAAAGGTGGGCAGAGGCCATTGTTCCTCTTCGGAGCCCTCCCTGCACAGAGCCCCAGAGCTGGCAGGCAGGTGCCATATCTGAGACTCCATCTATCTGGCTCACACTGTTTGCCTTGCCCTGGACATCCCGAGGCTCCATCCCACCCAACTTACCAGCTCACCCAAGCTATTAAAAGTGGGTTCTCTATATAAATGGTTGCTATTGACTCATGCTTCAGATCTTCCTAAATCCTCTCAAACAAGCAACACTAGCCCCAGTAAACCCTCAACCCTGTACCTCTTGCAAAATGGCCTGAGGCCCAGCACTAGAAGCAGCCAACCTAGGTTCACAGCTTGGCTTTACCTGGGAAACTCCAAGCCCAAGCACAAGGAGCAGTCATCTGGAGATGGCTTTAGCTCATGTAGGGTGGCCCCAGACAGAACACAGGAGGGGACTAAAGTTGGCCTGCGCCACCCAGGAAACTCCAGTGCCTGCTCACCCCGTGAGCAGCTAAAGCCTACGTTGGGGGTACTACCATCCTGCCCCTGCACAGCTGATTCTCCATGAAGAGTGGGGGCTGATGGGGAGTGGTCACAGCCAGTCCTTGCAGCTGACTGGCTGGGTAAGTGTCACATACTGACCTGCTAACAGCAATCAAGGCATAACTATAAGAGGAGGGTGTACTCGGCCCACAAGAAGGGCACGCCTTTAGAACCCAGACTGGGTGACAGGAAAGGCTGTGCCATTGAACTCTACAGGGCACCTACTACACTAGGTCACGCTACCAAGACATGGAGTCATAGCAGCTCTACCTAATCATAGAAACAAACACAGGGGGGCTGCCAAAAAGAGGAGACAAAGAAACATGGTCCAGATGAAAGACCAGAATAAAACTCCAGAAAAAGAACTAAACAAAATGGAGATAAGCCATCTATCAGATGCACAATTCAATGCACGGGTTAGAAGGATGCTCAAGGAACTTAGTGAGGATCTGAACAGCATGAAAAAGACCCAGTCGGAAATGAAGGGTACACTAATTGAGATTAAAAAAAAAAACCTTACAGGGAAACAACAGTGTAGAGGATGAAGCCGAGAACCACATCAATGATTTGGAACTTAAGAAAGCAAAAAAACAACCAATCAGAACAACAAAAAGAAAAAAGAACCCCCCAAAACAAGGGCACTGTAAGCCACCTCTGGGACAACTTCAAGCACTCCAACATTCGCATCAGAGGGGAGCCAGAAGGAGAAGAGAGAGAGCAAGAAGTTGGAAAACTATTTAAAAAAATCATGAAAGAAAACTTCCCTAATTTAGTGAAGGAAATAGACATGCCAGTCCAGGAAACACAGGGAGTCCCAAACAAGATGGATGCAAACAGGCCCACTCCAGGACACATCATAATTAAAATGTCAAAGGTTAAAGATAAAGAGAGAATCTTAAAAGCAGCGAAAGAAAAGAAATTAGTTACCTACAGGGGAATTCCCATAAGACTGTCAGCTGACTTCTCAAAAGAAACTTTGTGGCCTAGGAGGGATTGGCAAGAAATAGTCAAAATCATGAAAAGCAGGGACTGACAGGCCAAGATTGCTCTACCCAGCAAGACTATCATTTAGAATTGAAGGGCAGATAAAGAGCTTGCCAGACAAGAAAAAACAAAAGGAGTTCATCATCACCAAACCATTATTATATGAAATGTTAAAGGGGCCTATTCCAGAAAAAGAAGTAGATTAAAGCTATGACAGTAAAACGTCAAGAAATACACATGTATCAACAATTGAATCTAAAAAACAAACTAAGCAAACAGTAAAAACAGAGACAAAAATCATGGCTATGGAGGATGTTTTGATGGTTGCCAGATGGGAGGGGAATGTGGGAGAATGGGTGAGAGGTGAGAGGATTAAGAAGCACAAGTAGGTGGTTACAGAGTAGTCATGGGGAGGTAAAGTACAGAATAGGAAATGGAGTAGCCAAAAAACTTATACGCATGACCCATGGACACGAACAATAGTCTGGGGATTGACTGAGGGAGTGAGGGGTGCTGGGTGGAGGGAGGCAAAGGGGTAAAAATTAGGACAATAGCACCATCAATAAAATATAATAAAAATAAAAAATAAAAAATAAAAAGAAGGTGGGAACAGGAGAGCAAAAGAGTGTAACAAAGCAGAGTGAATTTGGGAACTGTCAGGCTGGAAGGAAAAAACCCCAAATGTCACTCTGACTGCAGCAGGGAGAACTGAGTGCAAG